TATTTGAGGACAGTAGTTACTGTCCGTTACAAATTACAAGAGTTTACAATTACTTGAGTTGACGGAGTCTAACCGGGTATTGAACACGAAGTTTACATAAGTGACAGTTACGGTGTCTAGCCGGGGATTGAACAACATGAAATGGGCGCAAGGCCTATTTATATTATTGGTGTGCTTACAAAGCTCTTCTAGAAAACAGAGCATAAGCAACGAGTTAGCGAGAAGCCTTTATCTATTGCTGAGCTAGCGTCTGATGCAACATTGGATGGAATAGTAAGTCCATTGTTATGAAAAGCATATAACAACGTCCCTCTATTACAAAAAGTTGCTGCCATGCCACAACTTTTGACAAAATTAGAAAAATATAAAAGATGTAAAAAGTCAAAAATGTAAAGGCGTAGAAATGTAAAATTGTAACATTGTAAAATATAAAAATATAAAAGTAGGAGTAATAAAATTGCAAAATGCAAATTGCAAAATAAGATCAGAAAATATAGATTCAGAAAATAAAATTGTTAGCATAAAAATATGATATATAGGTAATGCGAGTGCATCTAAATGCTTTATATGTAAATGCTGAAACAAAACGTTAAAAGCAAGGAGTACAAAAATGTCGTTGAAAATGAAAAGAAAAATTGATTTTTCACAATTAGAACTTTTCACTCACTGAACACTACTGTAGTTCAATTTCTTCTTCGTGGTGTTGGATGGTTGGTCTTCGACGTGGAAAAAGCCTGGGGTTGTATCTGACTTTCGACGATCCTGGTGACGGTCCATCAGATGGGTAATTTCATGCACAAATACTGAGTGGTCGGCGTTTTCTGCACTTGCAGAAGATGTAGAGGGCTAAGATGATGGCTAGCAGGGTTATGACGACGTATGTAAACCAGGAGATGTCGTGAAACAAAAGGCTCATTAATACGTTTATCAAGTTATTCAGAATACTGGTTCAACTTGTGGTTGGCGATTTCTAGCTGTTCTGTATCGATTTTGGTTAGCTTGATCGGTTTCAGGTTCGGCAAATTTTGTTTATCAGGGAGTTGATTGCAGCATTCGTAGGGTATCCCTACAGGGTGGCTTTTATGAGTGATATTCTTATAAGCGGCAACATAATATCTGGCATGAAGCCTTGTAGTACCTACGAATCCACTGCATTCTGGCTGCATTTTCAAAAGTGTATTAGCTTGATCACTTTTGTAGTTGTCTCACGTTGTCCGCATTTCGTTGTGATGAGCAACGGGCTGGATATGGTAATCAACCAAAAATTGGTTGCTAATTCCTGGTTTATAATCCTGCAGAGCCACAATCGCTATTTGGCATGTTGCTGGCAGATCGACCGGATTTTGCAACAATTGTGCTTCGCAGACTGCATTGTTGTCTATTGGATACAGTAAGAAACAGATCTTAACCTGTGATTGGAGAATTTTGCAACTACCCAAATTTTGAAAGGTAGAAATTGTATGAGATAGACCTGTAGGTTCATCTGAAATGGGCAGAGGAATCGTCTTGTATAAAGTGTAAACTTCAGGTTCTAACAAGCGGATGCGTAAGACGAAAACTACTTTTGTTTTTGTTTGAAATGCTTCAAGTTACATTAAATTGAGGTATTCTAATACTGTTGCCAAATTGACTGGCATAGGTAAATTGTTTTTTGATGGAATGAGAGATTTCTTGAAGAGAATTTACTAAATCTTGAGGAGTAATTATCGAAGGATGAATAATTTTCAAACGTGCAAAAGTGATGGAATTGAGAACATCGTTGATTGTCTCTTCTAGAAACATATAACTTTCCATTAGATGTTCGCAAAGTTCCAAAAATTGAAATCTAGCTTCATAAAAGGCAAGATCATCTGAAATTTCATAAATTCTATTTTGAATAACCTTTATGTCTTCGTTAAAAGTAGCTTCGTCAATTTGCAGTTTCTGAATAGTATTATTGAAGTTCTTAATAACCGAAATAGTTACTGAGATCTGATTATTTGGTAGAGAAGGCTCGTATGTGTCTTGATTTCACTTCTAAATGCTTTCATGCGATTAGTAGGTTCATTTACGAGAGCGGTAAAGTGTTCCAGGATATTATTGTTATCGTCGAGTGCCTTTTTGATCAGTTCAAGATCTTTGTAAACGAGTAGTGTCCAAACTTCGTTGAAAATTTTGAGATGGCCATCTTCGTGGAAGTAAATACCTAATGTGTTGTTAATGGGTTTGATGTCAATCTGGGCCGTACAAACAGCCACAAGAAACAGCAGACTACACCGGTGGTACATCAGGAGGCAGTCGTGTTCTCCAGAGAAGGCTCTCGGATCTCTTTCGATGTTTCGAGTACAGAGTAGAGAGGTTATGTGGTGAAAAGTACTTTCTAGCCCTAAACAAATATATAGCCTAGTTTCTTTCCAGCAACTGCCGCGATTGACGAGATGTATCTATTCGTTCCTCGGCGATCTGCATGGGTATCATGTAAAAAACCTATAAAACGTCAAAAGAAACCTATAAGATGTGATCTTACAAACTAGGTAGTTGTTAGGGCGCAAACAATCTTTCCACGTTTGCTCACTAGGATCGTTGTTAGCGTCCATCTAAGGAGGAATCACTCAACTAAGCTACACGCATTATTGGTTGCATATGCTTTGTGAGGCCAAATGGCATTTGTCTGTAGTTTTTATCTCTGAGAAGAAAGTTGGTTGAATAGCAAGATCGCATCTGGATGGTTATGTGTATTGGTCTGCATGTATATAAAATCAGTGATATTTGCTGTGTGAGAAAATCATTACTGAATATGCTGTCAATGAAGCATATCTATTGGCTGTGCCCAACGGCTTATTTTTATGTTGTGTTTTCTGAAGAGAGGTTATGTTCAATGTTATAAATTATGAAAAACTGAGGAGAATTACGGGAAATCATCACCGCTCCCGCGTTGTGTGTAATTACTGTTAGCATGTATATAGCTTGTAGTTCGACAGTGTACAGTGAACATAATTATTTCTTATCTCTCTCATTTTTGAAATTCAGCAAATTTGCATATGTAATTTCCAGAATGGATAAGAAAAAGTGGATGCGCAACTAATTTCTAGCTTTGAATCTCAATTAAGTGCATTTGAGACAAGAACCCAATGTAATTATCATCAACACGTACAACTTGCAGCTTAGACTTCCAGTAATGCCACCTCTGAAGCAGATTTTACATCACATTGAAGCCAAAGATTGATAACAAGCCTCATGACGTTTAGGCAACACATACAACTAAGTGCTGAGTTAATATCTTGTAGAAAAACCTACATAATATAAAAAAAAAACAGTACAATGTGACAGGCGAAATGAACGGTTCTTTGGTGGATCTCAGCCATTTATCGAAACCGGATGGGTCCTTTTGTTATGCATGATACATTAATGTGTTTTGGAAGCATTAAGCTGTGTCAGGTTGTTGCGTCCCTAAGCAGTGATAACCTACAAGTCTCTCGTCAGAAAGGTAGTCGCTGCTAGTCTTCTTTTCTCCAGGTCTCCAGACTGATCTCTGGGAACGCTCGCGTTGACTTTGTCGGATGAAGAGGAGAACCCTTCGATTACTATAGATAACGTGCGGTCAGAGAGAAAGTCAAAACCTCATCTGGGAGGCTATAGGACGGATATTTTTATAAGAGGCCAGCATGCTACTGCTGATCGAAAGCTTTATATGACTGAATATGTTTACTCTTGCGTTTGCGTGACATAAGGTAGGACTGATAGGATACTGTTGATCGCTGGTACCGCAAACCATGTTGCTTGTCGCTAATCAAACCATGATATTGAAGTTACTCCAGAGCCTCCCAATTAATGCGATTTCCAATCACCTTCTTATAACAGAAAGCGGAGCTATACGCCTCGACTTGTAATGATCAGTCTCAGATCCCTTCTTTAACCTGGAATATTTTCTCGAGATTTTACAGCCAGCTTAACAATATATTTTGTTGCATTTATAGCTTTATCAGACAGCGGGTAACAAATCAATAATATCCCTTCTGTATCCCTGAAAATGGAAGCTATAATCATTTCAGACGATTTCGAACTTTGATTGCTTCGAACATCCTAATTTAGAGTGATAGTGGTCATGGTAGGTCTCATACATAGCTCTAAGTACAGTCACAAAATGAGTTCCATCACTTGCATATAGATCCAGATATTGCTGAGAAATTCTTACTCGAATTTGTCTTTGATCTAATGTTAGTGATTGCCGCACCTACCCACCCAATAGTTTTTTCGTTCCCACTTCGTTTATCAAAATATAAAACTTGAGCTTATTTGAGATATGTATCCACAGCTTCTGCAATTTCATACATCACCATTCATTATCGAAAACAATATCGTAGGCAGAATTAACAATATTTTCATTGGTAGCAGTTTTCTCGCTTCTTCTGTGTGTCTTGTCATCGATATCTATACGACTACGTTAAAATTCGGTAATTGAATACTGTTGATCGTGAAGGAGCATCACTTCCTGATGCATTTGCCATATCAGTATAAATTTCATCGCCCTTCAATCCTCGTTTACACAGGTACTTAACCAGTGCTCACATCTGACATTTTTACACTGTCCAAAACCGCACTAAATACGTCTACTTCAGACCGCTGTAGATCAAAACATAATTTTCACATCAACTTAAAACCGCGCATGAAAGCCCAGCAAAATCATGTTTTCTTATACCAATGCTTCCTGTATGCGATCCCAAAAACTATTCAAATCATACTTTGGCCCTGTACGACCTATATTGCACTGATGTTTCTCAATAACGATGGAATAACCCTCTTTAATATGTGAAAGTCAGATCTGCGGTATCTTGAGATTACGACATTGCAGCCTGTTTGTAAGATCGAACAGCTAGAATTTTCACATGTTCACACACCATCTCAGTGGTCAACTCTAGCAATTGATAAGTATCAGTCTCTATTTCTTGATCAACATTGGACATAACAAGGTAAAGATGAAGAATGAAAAGGAAGGTATTTTCGAAAATTAAAATAATCAGTGATGATGTAAAAGTATATTTATTGCTTATGATGTGTAAAACAATAAAGATACATACTTTGTGCTTGTTCTTATTGTCATGGAGATCATTATCTATTTGTGTGTGTATGTAATCGATAGTACAGTCCTTTAAATTGGAGCAGTTCTTTGTGTGTTCCCTTCTCTACTACTTTTCCTTTATTGATGATACATATCATATCCGCATCCTGGATAGTACTCAAACGGTGAGCTATCGTAATGCATGTTCTTCCTACTTTAGCTTTATCCAGCGCTTCTTGAACAACCTACAAAAAATTTCCATGCTAGTACCTCTGGTTATCAAGTTATAAGTGACTTAATATACAAAAACGCTCAAATTTGAGAAACTGCAATCTCCCCATTTTGAAAGGTAGTGAGATATGAAGGACTTTAAAACTGGATACTATGTGACCCGACATTCCATTTGAAAAAAGTTCCACGAGGGAAACTTCCACATGAAAATGTAGAGTCCATACATCAACTTTACCACCCCAAAATCAGCTACTAGCTTGACATGTTCGCAAATAAGTTTTTTTTAAAGAACTGTCTAATTCAAGCCAACGCTGTAAGCTTCTGTTTTCAAGAAAATAAAAAGGGTACTATAAAAGTTTTGCAATACAGTTTTATTAATTGACTTCGTTCAAAGTCATTTCCACGACATTCAATACACTTCTCCATCTGCCAAAATCAGTCCTTAAACCAGGTCTGCCAAGTTTCACCCGGGGGTCCCACGCCCCCAGAAGGTCCTCATCGCTAGAAAACCATTTTCCTTTTTGCTTCATTTTCACATACGGAAACAGTGCAAAGTCACAGGGAGCAAGATCTGGACTGTAAGGAGGGTGCCCAATAAGTTGTTTCAGTCCAGTGGTAGTCAAATACCCGGTGCAGGCTTTGGCGCGGTGAGATGGAACGTTGTCATGGTGAAGATAGCAAGTGTCCAGTCTTGACTTTGGCCACAGGCTTTTCATAGACTCTATGACTTTAGGCATGCACTGTTCCGTGTACCTCTTAGCTGGGACTGTCTTTTCCCCAATTCCCATCGATTTGAAAAATACAGCTATCATTTTTTTCTTAACAGATCGGGATTTTCTGACAGCTACGGGTGTGTCCTCATCATCAAGGATCCAAACTTTGTTTTGTTCCTTATCAGACATTTTCAGCATCTTTAGGCACCAAGTCGTACGACTAGTTTTCTGCTCTTCCGTCAGACTATGTGGTACCCAGAGAGGGAGTTTCCTTACGTGTAAATGGCCATGCAGAATTGAATGAATTGCTGGTGCATGAAGGTGTAAGGTGTCCTCCATTTGTTGGTATGACATTCTTCGGTCTTCGTCAAGTATTTTCCTCACAGCAGTCATGTTTTCCTCTGTAACTAGCGTTCGCAGCCTTCCTTCCCTCTCAGCATCCTCCAGGGTTAAGTTGCCCCTTTGGAATTATCTGTACCACATGAATATAGCCGTACGATGAGGACAATCATTGATTAATGCAAGCGGCTTTTCTTCTAAGTACTGGTCTATGCTTAAGCCACACGTGAAGTTATACCGAAAAACTGCTCTTATCTCACTACGTGACCACGATTCCATAGTCACTGTCAATACGAATGAACAACTAAATTCACAGACGTGGTAAGCTCTGACATCAACTGCAACATGGTATATACTTACTTTTTCGCTTTCGGTATCTAAAGCAGATGTCGCCTCGTCCAGGAGCAACACCTTTGGGTTCCTAATCAATGCTCTTGCTATAGCTATCCTCTGTTTCTGACCTCCCGATAACTGTGTGCCTTTTTCGCCTAACTTTGTCTCGTAGCCCTATAGAAGAGAATATAAAAAAAGATATTTGATTCCTACGAAATTGTAATATGATAGCAACACCCAAAGGTGGCGACTAATGGTATTGCTCATTGAGACTACATTGTCCTAACTTTTACAATACAAGCCACTGTATGTAAAGCATACAACGAGCTCTATCTTCACTATCGGCTTGCCCAGTTGTTGTGTTGATGAGACTTAAACTTGGTGAAAACATGCATGTCCACAACGAAGTTATGTCTATAGTGAATAATTAACCAGATATTGTTGGTGATTGCAATAGTCCTCCTTCTAATAATGTACGTAATGTACGTAAGCATTGTATAGCTAGTACTTACCAAAGGCAGGTCAACGATAAAGTTATGTATATTAGCATTTCTCGCCGCTTCGATAATCTCTTCTGGTTGAACTTCCCTTGAGTTGTCCCCGTAAGCAATATTTTCTCGTATTGTTTTACTAAACAGGTTTGGTTCTTGTGACACAATACCTAGATGCGATCTCAAGGAATGCAGTTCTATTGTTTTTGTATCGTCTTCATCCAAGAATACTTCACCAGAATCGGGATCGTAGAATCTAACGGAGAAACGTGCAGATGAATGGGAGTCAACATTGACAATAAAGAAATACTTATACAAACCTTTCTATCAGTTGAACGACTGTTGATTTGCCACAGCCGCTTTGTCCTACCAATGCAACGGTTTTGCCTTGCAAAACCTCCAGATCTAGTCCACAAAGTACCTGAACATTAGGCCTAGTTGGATAAGAAAAGTGAACGTCGGTGTATTTGACGTTCCCATCGACCTAAAAGAAAAGTGGCGTCAGATGAGCTCTGCAATGCCTAAAGATTCATATTATTAGTCAGTATGAAAGAATTATTTAATAGGTCGGCAACTAAAAGTCATCCAAAATAAAGTTCGCAGTTTCTAGTATTGGACACTCCCTGAACAATTCTGGCTATTTTAGTCATATGGAGAAAATAGAAATTTCACACATATCCTATTTCACGAGTATCCATCATGGTAGAATGACAGCTGATTATCTGGTAATATCTCAAAATTCCCCATATCGGCACAGGGCACCTAATTCTGACGGATTCGTCAACGGCAGGTAGTCGGAGCTGTATTTTGTTTTATTGTTTTGTACGCTACAGATTCATTTTGTACTTGCTAACAGCTCTTTTATTTAGAAAAGTTCATTTGCATACAAAATACAAAACGGTACAAACAAGTTTTACTAGGTTTACATCTGATTCATTATTGCCAACGTCGCAGACTAACACAAAAACATCACTTGCTGATGAGCTGTTTACCCGAGTAGACGTCAAAGCGTGATGGATACACGTGAAATAGGGTATAAGGCGATTTCCTTTATTCAGCGGAAAAAGCTGTTTGCATCCATCAGTGCTAAACTCTTATGGCGATAACGTCATCTAATTCACTGCCGTCACTGGTAGAAGTGAAAGCACGCGTTGCTGCCTTTTTGTGATTTGTTTTGTTGTGGATATCGAACCCTAACCTATATTGCGTTTATAAATTATACATTTTCAAATTCGCAACTCCAACCGATATTTAAAGGTCCTTCAAAAAATTTGAGCGACATTAAGATATGTCGTTTAAAAAGAAAGCCATCAGTTTGGTTCTGACCATCCTCCTTGAGATGCATCTACGATATTTTGTTCTCGGACGAGAGCGAGGACAAAATGTTATTAACAGGACCGCGAAGTGCTTTGTTAAACAAATTATATTTTTGTTTTTTTTGCCAATTGACATCGGTCAATGTTTTGTCAATCGCTCCACCGACACAAAAGGCTGTCGATGGCGTCACAAATATATACATGAGAAATAAAAGAACCAGATCAACTCAAATTGGGTTGAGTGTACTCTTGTGGCAGAAACCACACAGTAATCAAATCCAAGCGAATAACCAGATTTCTGTGTTATTTACCGCAGCTCAAATGTGGTTTAAGATGACACACGCATTGGTTTTAACCGCAGTTTTGCTGAAAGTTGTTTATTTAAGAAAAGTGTGTATATAATTTCCGATTATTTTTATTATTACTTAATCATCGGCGCTTTTTCGTCTGCAACAGTGATATGAAAACTTTAAAAAAGAAAACATTCATAATATTTATGCCAGATATGTTTTTTTTTCAGAAGATATTGTTCAGGTGTTAAATCACTTGAGAAAGTATGCTTTTTTGTTATATATTCCAACTACCACGAAGGCCTATGGCCTAAACACCTATTGGGTACTGTGGGGGTATAGGGGGATACAGGGGAAAGGGGGAACGCCACACGGACTCTGGCGAGGGAACACGTGTGCATGCAACATACACACATTCTGGCTCCGCCTACGAGATCCGCCGAGTGGTACCTCCACGTTCGACAGTCAGAGACCGTCTACCACCTACGGACAATCACAACATCCATAGCCAAGAGAAAAATTTCTCCTGGGACGGGACTCGAACCCGCACAGCGCACGGCGATTGATCAGGAGACCGAAGAGTCTACTACTGCGGCCACCGCTGCTGCCTAACTATCTCTTATCGTTAAACAAGTTTGTCGTAAAAATAAAACATAGGACGCTCAAAATTTTAATGGTGGAACCACGGCTTTGTAGCTATGATAACGTTCAATCATTTAAACTTTTCCTCATGTCAAGGAAAACATTAATTAATTGATTTAGCAGAAATTATAGGAAAAATCTATGAAAAATATATTAGCAAAACCGTATACAGGTGGACAACATCAGTTTATTTGGCCATATTTTCTTCATGTGTTATATGGCTACACAGGATACTTTGTTGAGCATATAGGAACCAGATTTAAAGTGCCCGAAACAACAGTAATTACTATAACTAGTAAGGTGCTCTACTTTATGCTAAATCTGAAGTCAGCCTGTATCAAGTTTTCCAAAAATGAAGCTGAAGTACAACAAAAATATCCAGTTTCCGCCAAAATTCTAACTTTTCGCAATCTAAATAATAGCCAGAAATATAAAACTACTCCAGAGTGAGGAAAATATCACAATTTTACGGTGATAACTATGACATATAACAGCTGATTGATGTTTTCATGGACCTTTAACCAAACTGATAACCACACTCGCTTGACCGAATCGGTAAATTCCAGTCCAAAATGGTATATACCATTTTCATTTCGTTATTCGCTTGAATTGAAAAAAAGGAACAGGAACAGCAAAAAGGGAGGTAGAGTGCAAATGGAAGGAAGATGTTTTAGGACAGGAAGCGATTAAGGATTGTTAAGCTCAGTCCATGACAAATTCGTATGCGGTGATAACAAATTCATTCCTTTAGGTTCTGTTAAAATGCCTAAATTTTCATTGCTCTAAATTCAGGAATTAATATTGAGTTCAGTACCAGCCGCGGCCTTTTGTGCTGGCGAACCTGCTCTACTATATGTGACTTACCGTTGTCAGTGTTTTGCAGTTTGGTTGATTTCGTATAAGAGGTACTCTGTTCAAGAATCGCTTGACGTTCTTTGCTGCTTTGATACCCTTTGTGAAGTTTGGTGTGAATGCTAGAGAATTTGCTATGGATACGGTACCCATGATCAGTGCTTGAGATACTCTAAAAGATTAATATGTATTGTAACATGGCACGACTGACGACATATTTAAAAAAAAATAAAAAAATTATTCCGAGAGTAATAAAAATAACGGAACACCTCTGAATTTTTCAGACAGGGAATTTTTGAAAAAGGTCAAGTTCGGATATATACTAATTTTGAACCGGTTAATATTTTTTTTAGATTTGGCCTTCAAAGTTATTTCAAGGCAAATTTTTCGTATAGAAGCTATCTTTTTAACATCGGCAGTCGAAATAGTGGAAAATTCCATGTGCGAACAAGGACAAAAATCTGACATCAAGGCCATATATAAAGTTCTAATGTGTGTGAGGATAGGTAAAATTCTCGAATTTTAGCCAGAACATTGATGAAAAAAGAAGTGTTCAGAAAAGGTTTTCAGTAACTTATAACAAAGACTTGGTTACCTCCGACTTAACTTTGGACCTCACTCTAAGGTTATAACGAATCTCACTTTTTGGGTAATCATGAATGCGAATTCGAATATCTACTGTCGCTGTTCGCGAATGCTAATATCTATTCAGCCTTTCTTCTCGCGAAGTGCTTACTTTTGAAGTTTGATATTTCTCTAGTTCAGCTTGATTATTAAATATCTGTTTAAAAAAATAAGGAGAAACCAAAGAAGTATCTAATTTGTGAACAAAAATCTATTCCACTGCACTTGTCGATTCGATTTGTATTTGTGAACATTTATAACCAAATATTGAGCTGAGCGCTTTGGGTTATCTATTTTAGTTACGTGTGAAATCCACCGACTTCAAATTGTGAGATTTTTGACTTTACTTAAAATTATGTTTCCGCGGCGATTCACGTCAGCAAACTGCAAAAATGTTTAGTTTTGATTGTAGCTCGATGATACTTTTCAATAATTTTATTTTGTGCGCTATGTGTTGATCTAAGTTAGCTAAGACGTTTTTTTGGACTTTCACAGTTTTGACATCCTTATCGCTGTTTGGACTGTCTCACTTCACTAACAAAACGAACAAAACTTATGATCTCTAATGATAAATATCTTATTGCTTATAGCGCTAGGAAAAATTGTATGTGAAGAATCAAGCTTTTGTTTGTCTATTAAAAAATGGTATTCAAGCAAAAAATATTCAGGTATGTAATATACTATTAGCTATGACTCCATATTCTCTTTTTCTGATATTTATTCTAGTAAAGTATTCGCATGCATTTCGCGAATGTGGATGCAAATGCTAATATTAAGAAACAAACAACTTTTTTTTAACTAGAAATCTTTTTTGACACCTACAATGGAAAACTTCACTTTCTGATACGTCTTCATGTACTATTACCCAAGGGCAATATTAAACTCCTCTTTAAAAATAAGTGAAAGTTTGGAGCTTCTCGGAATTCTAATATACTCGTATATACTGACGAAGTATTTTTCGGGGTTTCGGTGCCGGGGTCAAAAAGAGGGCCTTCCAATTCCAGAAAGCAAAAGTTAACATTCAAGTATTCTTGAGTGTGAGACTGAAGGTTAAATCCAAGGGCATCGTTGAACTCCTTGTTCAAAGTTAGCAATGACCTGACCTTGACCTTTTTCAATAATGCCTTACTCAAAGAGTTGGACTAATACAGATCCATTTTAGTGTTTAGTGTTATTAGACTTGGTATGTATATTGATTCTTACTTGAATACTCTCTCGTAAGGGAGTTTTTTCGTGATCAAATGGCCTCCGTAATACATGCAAGCGGCATATGCAAAGTACATCAAAGTCCTTGCCATTCCATATACAAATCCACGCCAGTGGATAGTTCTGGCTGCTCTGTGATAATATGGAAGTAACTCTGACACATAGATCTGGTGGAAGGTATTTTCTAGGCACAGAGATGCTACTGTACGGATGTTGGTCACTCCCTCTACAGCTATCTGAGAAAGAAGAAGTATGTGTAAAATAAATATCGATAGGATTATTGAAAATAGTGAAAATAAGATGGAGCCTCATTATATTGATCATATTATCATTCTCAAGGCGCATTGAGATCTATATCGAATTCAGTAACTGTTGGTCGACTAGACGTAAGCTTCCGGAGTGTCAGGCGTGATAAAAGAATTATAACAGTAGCAGGGCCGTTTTAAAAGTCAGAGCCTATTGCACATCGTGCCGCGCATGCTGTCACGTGACGTCCGTTCAACCACGAACACCATCTGCCAGTCTCTCAGTACGTCTCAGTCGTTGTAGATTCTGAGGTTATACTGCTTTGTCGCCAAGTCATTCGCGAAACCCGCCTCCTGTGAAATGCGTTTGTTAGTTAGGTTTTTAAATGCAGAAAAGTTCCTGCTGCTTAAATTTAACAGCAGTTTGTTGAATAAGACACTATTCTGCTATTTAGAACCACCGACAAAGCCTTCTCTCTAGCGGCAACGTTCTGCTTCATGACAACGCTCAGCCTCGCGTTGCGGCAAGAACACAGTCGCAGCTGAACAAGTTTCGTTGTGAATTACTGGATCAACCACCATAGAGGTCGGTCTTTCATCTTTTCCAAAAAATTAAGAAATTTATTGTCGGAAAGCGGTTGGAAAATGATGACATGTTGAAAGAAACAGTTACTAACTGGTCTAACGGTCAGGCGGCAGCATTCTTTGATGACGGGATACAAAAACTGGTACCACGACTTGACAGATACTTAAGTGTTTATAGCGACAATGTTGAAAAATATGTGTATACTTTAGTTTGTGATACAATTTACACTCGTAAATAAAATTTCTCGTACTCCATTACAAAACAGTTCTTACTTGAAGAATAACCATCGTAATTTCAAGAAAGTACATCTTCATTTATAAATTGTTACCTGGGTAGATTTTTGTAAAGATGTCTCCCTTGAGTCGCTCAAACCACTGGCATTCCGCCTTTCAAAGAATATAGCGAGAAGGATCAAAGGCGTAAATGCCAAGGCTGTTAAGCCCAATCTCCACTCGTAGTGCACCGATAGTCCAACTGCAAATACCAATGTGGCCAAGCTGGATACAATGGTACCTATACGCTGACCAGTCGCCTGAAAATTGTTGATTTATACACCTATAATAATACCAGCGCTACAATAAAATAGAAAATTCAAACGAAAGAGTCATATCCCAACTAGCAAAGTAGTGGTATAAGCTTTTGGTAAAAGAACCGTTCAGCCATAAAAGCTCTCTATTGTTGTTGCCTGAACACAAAAATGCTGGCTTAATGTGGTGTGGAATGCAGATTTGCTTTCTGCAACATATTTGCTCTAAAATGAAGTATTTAAAATATTCTTATAGCATAGTTATACAACACCTTATAGGGTAAATTTTAACTGTTGCATAAACGTTTATATAACTATTTTATACGGCATATTTGCACGTTAGTCAGAATGGTTGTGTTTTAGCCAACAAATTGCTCCCAACGGAAGCACTTATACAGTTGTATAAGTGCCTCCTAAACTGTTGTTTAGTAACTGTTAAAGGCTGTACATATGCTAAATATATTGGTAAGCAACTTCACCATAACCTAACTTTCTGCTGTCATATTTTTGTAAAATGCTAAAATGCCATAATCAATGTTTTAAGACAAACAACGCATGCATATTGGTTCAAAAGGTTTTATCAACTGTTCAAACAGAATATATAGATCTGGTACAAATTCTGGGTAAATCATTCGACTCTGTCGGTATTTCATTTCAGACATTTGTCAAATTGTTGTATAACACCTGCAGGCAAGACCAGAATATTCTAATAACCTAAAGACAACATGAACGATGCCATGATTGTACACAACCATCCGCCTTGGGCAAACATTTATTCCTCTATTTTATATTAAATAATTATGTTTCAGTTCGAAATTACAGATATAAAGTGATAAACATTAGTGTAATTGTGTCTAAATATAGGATTTGTGGAAGATGTAACGCAGATAAGTTCAGTTTTCCATCTTAAAGATTTAGACATACTTTTGACCATTGTCAAAATATGAATCAAATACGAAGCCCGTAGAAATTGGGTAACTAATTTGCACGATAATCACAATAAAATTTGCTGCGCAAGTAATTCAGTAGCCCTATATCACAGTGTAGAAGTTATACCTGTGTATGAAATTCACAATGGCCGATATGTAAGTAAACAAGATGACTGTAATGTTTTAGTTATACATTCTTCACTTCGTCTATATAATACATAAGAAATAGGTTGGTTGCAATAAAGTAGAATCACGTAACAGAATAGTTGACAAAAACTGAATCTTGCACTGACGCAAATGTCCTATAGCGGCTGCAAGAGGCTTACACTTTTGTTTTATAACTGTTACCTGCATCCCTTATTTAACCTCTTAAATGACTGAAGTGTCCTATTAGGTGTGCCCATTCCGCTTGTATAGCTGTTCTAAGAGGGTCTTGCCAATGTTCTTACAGTATACAATGCTGTTTAAGGAATACTGTATAATCATTCTTGCAACTCTAATAGGAGTGATAATTGTTAGTTGGGATGAGTCTAATTCCAGTCTTAACCTTTCCCTGATGGTGCTACCACAGCGAAGATTGTATGAAGTGTATCATCAAAACTAGAGAAGGATACCCACCCCTTGTACACTAGCCGCATCTGAAGACAGTTTTGCACACAATGCTCCAACACCATTTTCTTTTCTGTCGAAGAAACCAATTTCTTGAATAAGCATGGACATGAACATTTGTCTGCGGAGTCGTTCTGTCATCCTTTCGCCAGCTACTCCAAAGCAATAATGCTAAAAATTAGAATATTTTACGTTTTCCATTAGACCTCATTGATCGTACGTCTCACCTGGATCAATGTACTAAATGCCAGCGCTATTCCAGCTATAAGGAAATAAAGGCATGTTTTGTTGGTTTCTGTTCTAACGTAATCATCGTCAGGATTGGCCAACACCTAAAAAACTATGTTTTAATAACTTTTTGATGTGTGTCTATATACTTGAACAGAGAAACTAAGGTATAAGTTAATTTGAAACGAGTTATATTGAAAACATCTGATACTCACTCCAATGACGTCTCCAAAGATGACAGCGAACAAAGGCATAGCACAACCGAAAATGATGGAATTCACACCACCAATGAGGATATAGGGCCATTCTTTTGCATTCATCATCAGAACTTTGTAAAGAGATATGCTTTCCTTCTCTTCCAGACTGTCATTGGAATCGTCAACCTGAAAGACGCAAAGACTGGTATAAGCTACAAATATATCTATGTGCAACAGTTATAGGTCGATAGCAAGAAAGACTTTTTTCCTGTAACTGGTCTATAATAAAATGGAGCACTGATTTATGCGATAGAAGGCGACTTCAAGTAATATATCCACCCTTACTCGTTCTACTCCTAATTCTTCATCTTCTTCAACAGATGGTTTCCTATACGTTTTGTCATCTGTTGACGCTAGTTCAGCTTCTTCCTTTCCAGCTACTTGTGCCATCACAAGAGTATGGTATTCCTTTTTCAGGGTCATCAATTCATCGTGTGTTCCTTGCTCTACAATTGTTCCATTGGAGAATACAAAAATTTTGTTGGCATGTCTGATAGTAGACAGCCGATGAGCAACTACTATCGTCGTGTAATTCTGACTTGCCTGGAAAAATTCAGAATTTTACAACTAGAAACTACATCCAAATATCATAAAGACATCTATCAGCTCTGAGGGCCTTCAGTATTTTCGAAAAAAATCATGAGAGCATGTATATCTGGATTTACCGAATCTAAGGCTGCCTGTACTTTAGCTTCACTAGCATTATCGAGTGCTGACGTAGCTTCATCCAATAGTAAGATCAAGGGATTTCTTATAAGAGCTCTTGCAATAGCTATCCTTTGTTTTTGCCCTCCTGAAAGTTGAGCACCTCTTTCTCCAACAAGCGTATTATATCTAAAAATGCATCGATGGTATTATATTGACATATTTTAAATGCTAAACCCAACAAAAATATACTATACTAGTTATGATTCAGGCTGTAGTTACAACCATATAAAGAGCTAATAAAAAGGGAGGTTGCAAATCAGACTTCATCTGCTCAGACACCAGGCAGTCATTAAGTCATTAAGCTTTGCGTAAATATCGTCTTAAGTAGTAAGTAAGTGAATGCTTTCAAAGAGCTGGGTATTGAAACAAGGTATCATTGCCTTGGATACCAGGTCACGGAGGGTACCAAGGAAACGAGATGGCAGATGAGCTAGCCCGACAAGGTACGCTTAATAGCCTTACAGATCCAGAGCCTGTCTGAGGCATGGTGTGGACACGACTCAAGCAGACCATAAGAAATTGGACCAAGATAACGTTCCTAGAATGATGAAACAGCCAAATAGGGTAAAGGCATGCATACCATTTTTCAAAGAATGATAGCTGGTATTCACAGAGGAGCTTGATTTAATAAGGCCATAAGAACCATAGTGGGTCTCCTAACTGGACACTGTCGTCTAAATCGACATAGGAGGCAGAATATTGCATGTGCAGTGCATCTCTGGTATCACTAACAAGAACAAGGCCCTGGGCTTCTATTCTCACCGGAACTTACCGATTAACGACCACTATCGGTAAGCGCAACCAATGACTTCAAGCCCTAGCCTAGTTGCGATGAGCTCACGGAAAGTACTGCAACATGTACTAATAGATTTAATCTGCCATATCGACAGCTCGGATTAGAATTGAAGAGCACATCATATTGTAACAGATTTTTTATGCTTAAAAATAGAGAAACTATTGAGGTTGTGTGGTTTCAACTTGTGCTTCTAAAACAGGGTAATAACAAAAAGGTACCAAAACGTAAGCATAACTTTATTGACTAAAAATACAATGTGTCGCAGAACTAGTTTCGTATGTGCCGTTCATTTTAGAGAAACGGTCGTTGCATATTTTAATGGCATAAATAACGAATATACAACATATTGCATATGTACGTAGCGCGTACTATTGAAAGGATAAGGTTATATTCCACAACAAACGGTCGAAAGTTCAAGCCCTAATAGATACATACGCATTGGTGGCCTTGCATTGGAACTGAGACTACTAAGGCCAAATTCAATAAAATTCAGCATTTGGCCTGTATCAGCATTACTACCGCAGTGCGGACAACGCCATTGAGTGCAATGGAAGCTCTGCTGGATCTCCCACCGTTGGATCTAGTGTTCCGTGGAGAAGCGAGAGTAGTCGCACACCGACTGTGGAATGCAGCTGGGCCTTCTTGAATCATGTCAAGGGCCATCCTAGCCGAACTGCAAAGAGAGGATCCCGTCCTTCTTAGCAGGGGTGATCAAATTACCCTTAAATATCGCTTCAACCGCAAGTTTAATGTGGAGTGTTCAACGATGGAGGAGTGAGACGCCGGTTGCCGGAGGCTGATCGGCGTGAATGGGCAAGTCTGGTACACGTACGGCTCGGTCACCGAAGAGGGCTCTGGCGCCAGGGTCTCGGGGCCTAGGACTAGGCTATCTCGACCTCTTGGTGGTTACACCACTATTTTCCAAGCGGAAATCGTTGCGATAGGAGAAGAATAACAATCTTCTCCGGCAGCCAGGCTGCATTGAAGGCACTAAGTGCATGTAAGATCACTTCGAACCTTGTATTGCAATGCAAGGAGGCTCTGGATTCTCTAGCAGCGTGCATTCGGTATCGTTAGTGTAGGTACCGGGGCACGCTTGGATAAAGGGCAATGAGACGGCGGACGCTCTGGCGAAGACAGGAGCAGCCAGCAGGCTTGTTGGTCCTGGGCCAGCTTTAGGGGTGCCCGCGCAGTAAGGAGGAAAATGGAGAAGTGGATTGCACAACACTCTCAGAAATGGAGAAACATCTACAGACATCTACGTCAGGCACGGGAACTCATTCTCGAGGATCGTTTGTGTGAGCGCTGCGGGGTAGAGGAACAAACCTTGGCGCACGTTCTGTGTCGCTGTGAGGCTCTTAGCTACTACAAGCAGACTATACTGCATCACTTTGGACCCCCAGGGCGTTAAGGAGCTTGGACTCAAGGCCATACTCAACTTCGCTAGAATGGCGGAGCTTGAGGCCTAAGGAATGTAGAGATGCATAAGGACCCGTCTAAGTGGCTATGCGCTGGCTCCTTATGGTGGTCGGTATGGCTCTAATTCCATGTTTCATTCATTCATTCATTCATACGTATGCCTATTACACAATCTATATCGATTATCTACAACCGGGCGGTAAATTGTCTTTATCGATAGGCTTTTTCTCAGTTTTCATACCACGGACTCCAAGGTCAGACATTGCATCATATTTGTCAGCAGTATTAATACCTGTTTTCTTTATGAAAATAAAAAGATACCCTGTCACGCAAGATTTGTTAGCTTGTATATTGTCTAAATGTTTTCTTATATATTTATAAGCTTTAATTTTGGGATACATAGACACACTGGTACGAAATTCTTTATGTGGTGTGATTATTTTTACACTTCAAGTACTGCCAATGGTTTCTAGTTCTATTTAAAAGCTATATGAAAAGGCACTAATAATTATTTAGGCATTTATGACGTTAAGTTTAGAAAATTAAAAATATGAGGAAAAATTGAACGGTCGCATCAGCGGAACCTGTAGCACGCCCTAATTAACGAATATGAAGAAATGTCTGGCCGAGGAGTCCGTGGGTTATGAAGTGAGATTTAACACCCAAAAAGCCTATCCACAGAGTACAATTTACCGTCCGGTCGTAGACAATCGATGTGGATTGTGTAGTAGGAGTATGTATCTATTAGGGCTTGAACCTTCCACCGTTTGTTCTGAAATATAACCTCATCTTTTGAATAGTTCGCGCTATATACAGGGTGGCCAAACACGTGACGTCATAAAAAAAAAATTAGATTCCACACATCGAGAGGAACCCAAATCACCCCCATATATATGGTCTGATTTTGTTTAGTTTAGGAGTTATGATTTTTTTTTCGGTTTTTTCGAGAATTTTTGAGTTCTGTGTTTATTTTTACCATAACTTCGTTAATAATTGCGATAAATGCCTGCTTTTTTCACGATTATGTAGCTAAGACCTAAGGCTTAACTATCATATAATCATTCAAGTCATGTAACTAATACTACTTTTTAATTTTTTTCAAAATCTTCGAACATAACAAAAAAGTAAAAAAGTGCAACAACTTTGAACGTTTATAAAAAATTTAAAAAACATGTTCTTACTATTCGTAAGTATCTTAAAGACTTCCTTACGGTATCAGCTATTTACCGTGAAAATTTTATCAACCTAGCTTTACTACATGCTACCGTAATTGTGGCTCAAATAGAACCGAACCCAAAATTGGATAACCCTCTGCTCAATAGAAATTGTTAGTTTCGGAAAAAAAATTTGCAAAAACCACAAAAACACGTTTGATTTTTACTGAACAGCAGATTATTATTCATTTATGTTATTTACAAGAGGTTTTCAAAATGTCTGCCTCTAACAGAAATGCACAGTGTACACCTACGTATGAAATTTTCTTTTAAATCTCTAAATGCTTGTGTGTTGTTTTTCAACACATGTGTCGCTTCTTGAATTTTGTTCCTCAATGAATTTTCATTTGCACATTCTTGGGCGAATGTTATGTCTTTAAAATATCCCCAAACAAAAAAATCAATGGGGTTGAGGTCAGGGGAGCGTGGAGGCCATCGTATCGGTCCGTTTCGTCCGATCCATCTGTCTGGGAACCTTTCGTTTAAGTAGTTTCGCACGATCGTTGCGTTGTGGCATGGTGCACCATCATTCTGGAACACCATGTTCCGTATGGCTTCCAGGCTTGAATCTTCCAGCAATAATGGTAGGCTATTTTCAAGGAAGCTTTTGTAGGCTACTGAATCCAACCTTGACGGCAGTTCAAATGGACCGATAAATTCCATATTGAATATTCCTGACCACATGTTCACACTAAAACGGTGTTGAAATGTCGACGGCCTTGACTGGTGGGGGTTTTCAACAGCCCAAGTATGTAAATTATGGATATTGAATATCCCTGTTCTTTCACAACGTGACTCGTCAGTCCATAAAATTTTATCAAAAAAATCGGGATCCTCTCGTTGTCTTCGCAGTATTGTCTCGCAGAAATCCACTCTTAACTGGTAATCTGAAGGCATCAACGCTTGAACTCTTTGAACATGATAGGCATGATAACCTTCTTCATGAAGAATATTTTGTATCGATGTTCGTGGTATTCTAAGGTTTTGTGCCATAGATCTCGTACTCGTTGAGGGATTCCGGCTAATTTCTTCATGTACTACTTCTCTGCGATCCGGATCAGCTGTAGGATATCCTTCATTGCTTCCTCGTCCTGGAATGCGGCCTGCCATGAAAGTGTTATGTGTGTTAATAAAAACACGGTGGTCTGGGTAATGCTCAGGTTGTGGTCCGCCTCGGCGTATAAGTTGTTCCCGGTACAGCTGAGCTGCTAAAGCGCCGTTGCCTTGAGCAACGCCATAATAATAATGCATCGACATTTCAACACCGTTTTAGTCTGAACATGTGGTCAGGAATATTCAATATGGAATTTATCGGTCCATTTGAACTGCCGTCAAGGTTGGATTCGGTAGCCTACAAAAGCTTCCTTGAAAATAGCCTACCATTATTGCTGGAAGATTCAAACCTGGAAGCCAGACGGAACATGGTATTCCAGAATGATGGTGCACCATGCCACAACGCAACGATCGTGCGAAACTACTTAAACGAAAGGTTCCCAGACAGATGGATCGGACGAAACGGACCGATACGATGGCCTCCACGCTCCCCTGACCTCAACCCCATTGATTTTTTTGTTTGGGGATATTTTAAAGACATAACATTCGCCCAAGAATGTGCAAATGAAAATTCATTGAGGAACAAAATTCAAGAAGCGACACATGTGTTGAAAAACAACACACAAGCATTTAGAGATTTAAAA